ATGGAGACATTTGTGGTGTCGTTGATTGAGACACTTGCGTTGACATCGATTGAGACATTTGTGGTGTCGTTGATTGAGACACTTGCGTTGACATCGATGGAGACATTTGTGGTGTCGTTGATTTAGACACTTGTGATGACATCGATTGAGACATGTGTTGTGACATGGATGATGTCATGGACTCCATTACTGATGTCGCCATCGAGGCTAAGAAATAGAAAAAAAAGAAATTAGTTTAGACCAGAACACCCGAAGGTTAACGCAACCAATCTTCTAATTTATAACTTCCGGTTGTGGTTAAACTTTTTACACTAAAATTCGTTTGGCCTGTAGTAGCCGTCTGCAGGCTACATTTCCTTGAGTTCAAAATTACATTTTTCTCATATCTATAGAACTATTAGATGTTTGGTATTATTGAACTCTGATCTAACGAAATATCTTCATCTTATAATATAAGCACTAGGCTTTTCGATCTATACTATTTAGCTTTTTTTCTGCAGAGCATATCATCTGTTTGCGCAATTTATCAATACTTTATTTTAAAAGAGTACCTGTATGTTACTTTTAAGAGACGATGTTCAAAACTGTGCCAAAACATCGACCAGAAAGAGGTTGGATTGTTATCCGTCGTCAGGCGAAAGACAGCTCTGTGCACGCATTGCGATCCTATAAAGCTAGCCAACAATGGCATCCATTACAGTACAGCCTCAATATTCGTTATGTCCGCGTGATAATCTAGAACGCCAAATGGCAGTGAAATTCGACAAATAAAAAAAACCGAGCTCAGATGACATGCTATTCAGAAAATTAGCCATGAAAGAGATTTGGTCGCATGCTGAAAACATGTAGCGACCAAACTCAAGCAACTTTAGCCAATTGCTATGAGTGATCATATAGAATAAGTCTTAATTTTCGGCCGGTCTGGAATGGATGTGCATATATATGGCCGTTATTGTGGGACCTGTGGTTCGCTAGATACGCGGAAAAGTGGATAGTTCTTCCTTAGACCGTAATTACGTGGTTGATGCAAAAGGAACGTGCTTTTGAAAACGCCAAAGGAATGAGAAGGCGAGGCTAACAAATGACTGCATAGTTTCTCAAGTTAAGCATTGTGTTATAAATGGCACTTGGAGCTGTCATCTCTAAAGAGGCCCAAATGTATGTGTACAGTCTGATAAACAAGCCAGTCACGACATCACACGACAAATAATGCGGATGCAAATATGCAAATTACACGTTCTAAATACTGAAAGATGTTTTATCATTTAACAACATGTATTGTTCTTGTCTTATTTAACCTGGAAATTCAGCATTGTCATGGTGAGGAATAGCCTTTAAGGAAGTAGAAAGCAATATATTTATACAAAAGAATTGAAGTATCTAGCCGTGATTACTTAGGGTATTCATAGATGCCATGCTTAAAATTTTATTGGTGATATTGCAATTTATTGTTATTGCGGTCTGCACGAAAACCCAAAATGAGTGGCTCGTCTTGTCTTCCTCTAAATTAAATGAATTAAGAGTAAAATTCTTTATTAAACTGATCTTATTTTATAGTCTCCAATTGGCTTCAAAACTGACTTTGTTTCAGTTCATTTCGCAATGTTTTGCCGTTAGTTATATGGCGCAAATAGGATGCCATATTTCTACACGAGGTCTGCAATATTATAGTACTATAAATTAACGATTCAAAAGCGGAAAATGCTGTATTTTTCCGTCTTGGAGGTTTTTAGCATCAAGTATAGTGTATACATCTTATAAGGATTTATAACAAGGTGACAAGTCCGAATCAAGTTCGTTAGCAAGCATTTCACTCCAAATTCTTCACTGAAGTAATCTGTCTACCAGTCTGTATTGGGTGTGTTTTCACAACTAATCAGTCTGCATGCAAGAATTAAAAGCGGCCAATAAATTTCCTCACTAACTACTACAACTAACTCTATCAGTTCAGTAAGGCAGGGTTTCGAAGTTTGGAGTTATCCAGCACGCCCTTTTCGCGAATGAGGCCCGTGTGATTTATGACAAAGAAAACCCCAGTTGCTCTGCTCGTGTGTGTATGGGTGTGTTTGGTGGAGAGGACATGTTTAAAAATTGCCTCGATTCAAGTGTTTGTCAGTATATTAAAGCAACTATCAAATCTAAAACACTTCAACTCGCTGCTACTTCTGGTTATTTTGCTTCGTCGCCGTTTCTCCCTATTGCACAACCTGACTCAACTGCGGGAGCGAAATTGTCCCTGTTTTACTATGCAGTAATGATGTTGGTTTAAAACGGACAACTGATATGTAATTACAGGTAGCCCGCGAGCGACATACCTAAACAGTTACTTTATAATTCGCTGATTTGTTGCCATTCTTAAGATTATGAGGGATTACGTTTCCGCGAGTTAATCTTGGTTTGATCAAAGATTTCCATCTTCAACTTTTGAGACCAGTTGTCTCGCTAACGCGATTCGCAAGTCAACTTCAGTATGTTTCTCCGCGTTAAACAAGATCGAACCAACCAACTTTTTAACTGTTTGTTGCAGTGCGTGTAAAATACCTAACAATAGAAGCCACTTAATTTACTTACTAGACTGACTCAGGGCGCCTCCAGCCAGGAACACAAAAAGAAAGATCGCCGGCATTCTCCTCGTGTTGGCAGACATGTTGCTTCTGTACTCTGAACGTTAAAAGCGCTGTTTGATATCAACTACGAGGAATTATCTTGTCTAGATATTCAGCGTGACGCCGCTAAATGTGGCCCGCGCCAATATAACATCCTTTAAATACAAGATAACCTTGCTGACGATATGGTTTGTGTTAATGTACCGTGACCATCTGGTTAACAAAAGAAAGAAAAAGAATTGTCATTAAGGCATTTGAAATAAAAAAAATATGACAGCAATGACGTTGGAGAACAACGTTTGTTTAAGAGTTCCGTTTAAGCCGTGTTCCTCGTGCCTGATCAAAAGTGTTTGACCAAAACAGACAATTTCACTGAATTCAGAGTCTTTCTAAAACCCTCGGACACGCAACCTAACTCGCTAATGTTCACTTTGTTATTATAGTTTTTTGGTTAGTAGTTGATTTGTTCAAACTTGCAAATGTTTTTGTTAGCACTTACTCAACATAACGTTTTAAGTCTGAGTGTTGGCCGACGGATCTATTTTCCGGTTGTAACATCAATAGATAGTCAAAGAGAGACGTACTGAGAACAGAGAAAATATTAAACTAGCGGATATTGTAATAATGTACCACTAAGTTCTCATTACTAACTTTAAAAGAAATGTATAGTAGCCAGTAAGGAGAATTATAAATTGATCAGTTAGTTCCATTTGAACGGTTCTCTTTGTGTCCGTTACAAAGAAAACCCTCGCATACAAATGAATTCACGTACATGAAATTATTTCATTGAAACTAGCTCAGTTGTCTCTTGTTTCCACTTTGAGAATGCCCCTGCTCAGTTTAGCTTATGTTGGTATACAAAAAACGTTTAAGAAAGGTTTGAAAGGTTCTATTCTAACTTGTTCACACTATGAAAGACACTGACTTTGATCCGGTTAATGAAGAACAGCACGTCCGTTTAATGTAAATGAACTGCGTAAGATTCCGTTACGTAACCTGCAGCATCGCGCTCCATTTCACATCACGTTCCATTTCTCACCTAACTTCATTTTAATTTTCAGTGAAGCTTGCAATCATAAGCAAAACGTCATCCTTTGGACTTGTACGACCACCCAAGTGAAACACAGAAAGCTTGAAACTTCAGCTTGCAACAAATCGGAGAACAAAGTAGTTCTACATCACGAACGTTCCGCCCACTAGCGGTTATTTGAATATAATGGTCACACTAGGGTTTCCCTTCAGACTCAAAATTGAATTTTTATAGTTGACTCATGTTTTCCCCCGTTTGCGTCAGGTTTACCAACAAGCAGCATGCCAAATATTTAGGTAAAATAAGCACTGCTGAAGTCAAATGCTCTAGGCTACCAACTATCGCCTCGGTGGAATTGCAAGCATTTTATAATCGGTAAATGAGAGAGTTTGTCAGCATAGCCTGGGGGTCAAATTGTGCAGCCGACGTATCCATATAAACGCCGTTAAATTGAGTGTTCAAGTAAATGTTTTTCCTTTTTGAAAATTCAAACGCGTTCGCTTTAAACTCTGAACTTCTTTAATGTTGACCTGCTGTTTTCAGATCTGGATATAGAACGGTGGCGAGACCTAATCAATGTCCCACGCGCCGAAATGTAGCTGTATGGAAGAGATATTTATAGTCACATATCAGTGACATTGCTCCGCGATTAATGGGAAAAAAACACGTAATTTTTAGGTGTGTTAGTAGGTTTCTATTGGTTCAAAAATACACTAGTATTTTATGGGTCGCTGGTTAAATGTGCTTTGACTGAAAGCGTAATTGCATCACATGATTCTTTGATAGCTGATTGTACCCATTTCAAAAGTGAGTTCAAATTCCGATCTGATCTACCATTAACTAAAACACTCTTTTAATTGCATGCTTAGAGCCTAACTAGACGCTCTATATTTAGAGTGTGTCGAGGACTTAATGAAATGTAGACCGGGTTTGGGCAGTGTTTCACAAACTCGCCAGGCTTTTCCGTATCAGGTATATAGAGCGTTTTCACTCACGTGGCCAGCAGCCATGCAAATTTATTGAAACAAAAGAAAGTGTTTACAGAGGAAAAGAGTTCAACTCAACAGGATTGGTTTGGAACACCAATATGGCTGCCGTGACATCATGTGAAAACGCTCTATAGGACCCTTAAAACGAGTCAGTGGACGAGGTCTGGGGCTAGTTCTTAAGAAAGGTCTCGGAATAAGTCTGTGAGAGAGTTACGTTGAATGGGTTTTCACTAAGTTCGCTCCAGGCTCGTCTGGGTCATTCAGAACTAAACAGAAAGGAATGAAGATCACACGCACAACTCACGTTGCATTGCCAGCGGCATGACATGAAGAAAGTGAGTCTAACGATCCAATTTACTACCAAGGAAAATATTGTGTCTTAGAGGCTTCACTGTCAAGCTGCATTCTAATAGTATTTAAAAAAGATACTCAGTTTCACTAAACTTTAATTTCTTCTAAGTTCCACCAAGAAATCGTGATAAAATTACAATACTCTTGTGGTAATTCCAATTTCTAATGAATTTACAAAATTATTTAGACCTAACTGATTGCCACAAAATACTGAATATGTTATACAAAAAGTTATCTGAGAAAACTACTTCAAAGACGGTCAAATACCGGTCCATTACCTCTGGGATAATGTCACTATTTCAAATAAAGTCACTATTTCAAATAATGTGATTTTCGTACGACCTTGCAAAACGCACGCGTGAACACGAAAAGAAAAACAACAAACACAGTAGAAGTGAACAATACGAGTGGTTCAACAGACGGAGACGAACTCTCACATTTTAGCAACAAAATATCGCTGATATGCGTAAAGCTTGTTAGCTCATCTCAAATTACTGGCGGATACACCAAAACGCGACTTTTCAGGAAAACAGTTATTTCAGGTCATACAAAAGCTATTTGTCTAATAAAACTTTGTTATGTAGATGTTGCTATCGTAGACTACGAGTAGTCCCTCTTTTGATTAGTCCGTCGTGCGTGACGCGAAAGAAAAACCGTGAGAAAATAAAATGGCCGCCCGAAATCGCGTCTCGCCCCTAGGATTTCACGCGGCCATTTTTCCCTTGCGGTTTATTTACGGTCTCGCACGACGCACTAAGCGAAAGAGGGACTACTCGTAGTCTATTGCTATCGTATTCAATACTGACAGTAAACTGGCGTAGTAAAGTTTGAGTACCAGTTTCTCTCGAACACGGCTTGTAACTGCGCGCGCACTGTGTCACCAGTTTCTGTTTCATTTATGACGTAGGCAATACCACCAGTGTACAAGAAGTAATCTGCTGACCAGTTAGATGTGCCGACGTAAGCTACGCTCTCGGTTACCATAAACTTGTTGTGATTGACACGAGTGAAGACAATTTCCTTCGTGTATGGAGACACAGTGTATAATCTCTGAAAACAGAGTGGTAAAGAAAGTGGTTATAAAAACTACCAGTCAAGTGGTCCCACTGAAGCTAAATACAATCATGCTATAGCTAATCAGATTAGAAGGTGACCATACTGAGGAGGGGGGAGGACCCCCATTTAAAAAGGACAGCGGGGCTCGTCGGAAGTTTTGAAAAGAACCCCTAAGAGGCACCAAGATCTTGTTTTGTGGTTGTGGCTTGAAATCTTTTCCACCCCTAAGATATACCAATTCCAAAACAACACATCATCTCCTGTCATTCTTTTTTCGGCTCGATACCCTAAAAGGTGCCGAAAAAGCTCCCACTGTGGACTGTTTGAGGCTGAACACCCCAAGAGGTACCAAAACTGCTTTTTTAGCCCCTAAAAGGTACAACAAGCACCCCCATCCTTTTTATATGATGGGAGTCCCCCCCACCAAGGGCAACCTGCAGCATTTACAAGGCTCTTTAATATAACTGGCCACATGAAATAATAGGTAAAGAACACAGAAATACCCCCTAACCCTAAAAACTAATTAGAGGTGTAAATTAACAAGAACCAGTGAAACAGTTTGGGAAAGAGAGCAAGTTTTATCCCAAATAATTTACTGCATCTGCATGGAGATTTTTCCACTCAGATGCTTCTTTTAATTAGTGATGACAAGTTGAAGACAACTTCTGCCAAGTGCTTGCCAAATTTTCTGATTTCAGTACTAAATGAGAACTGGAACTCTTGAGCAGTCTTAGGAAATTCTACTTACAGGGCTTTTGTAAAGAATTATCACAGCGATAATGAGTTTATCTGATAAGAGGAGGGGGTGGCCCATGTAGGCAGAGGACATACACTTATAGGCGTCCATTTAAGGGAGATGTCCTCTAAAGAGGCATGCTTACTCAGGGGAGGTGTCTTGCTGAAAGTTACTGATAGCAAATGCTGAACTGTTGTAAACATAAGGGAGTACATACCACTTCAACTGAAGCATAATTAGCTCTGTTCAGTGCAGCAAGAGATCGAAGGTAGTACTTCATATCAGAACGAGTGTGATTCCACAAACTGGCTAGCAATCGCACATGCACTTTACGATCAAATGCTGCTTTTCTCAAAGCATCATCTATAACTGGCCAGTACCTGAAAGACGAGTGTGGAAATGCCATTTCCGATATTTATAAGTCCTGGGGCATTTTTATAAAATTCGGTTGTAGTATGATCGTCTGGCACAAAAACACAACACACAGAATATAGCAAAACATAGTCCTTGGCTTCAGACTGCAAAACAGTTCTTTTCTCAAGATATCTACATGTATGTGACACACAAAGTGGTGGGAGATGCCTACATGTTAATAAATATTTACATATATTCATTTAAAAATCAGCTTTAAGTTTGCACCTTGCTAGTTCTAAGCTTTTTTTTTTACAGTCGTACATTTACTTACGTTCTTTGATCTGTGTAGAGAGTTGTTGGAAAGTAATCCATAACAGAAATATAGACAAACTTTGTTGCACTGTTGATGACTCGTAAGATGGCTGCCAGATCATCTTGGCGGCCAGGAGGAGACAATTTTGGTGGAGATGACGTCAAATAAATTGAAGCTGAGTTCGATCCATTGATTTTGATTTGTGCAGGAGAATCTATAAAAAAACAAACAAACAAGGGATCATTGTTCAACAAACACTAAAATATATGGAGCCTTAGCTTCTTATCAACTATTGTTTTTATAGGTTGACGTTGAAGTTGAACGACTTACATTTTTACATTTTTAGGTTGAAGCACCTCCACTACAGTGCCCCCACCCCCCACCTCTGCCCTGCCCTGGTTATCAGTGGTCCTCATCACCAGCAATGGACAAACATGGCCTTTGAAAGCCTGCATAACTGGCCTGTCTTCTAATGACCAGTCAAAATGGCAAAGTAATTTTTACCAATATTAAAAGCCACAGAGCCACAAGCAAAATTCTCAGGACTTCAACTCATTTTGTTATAACCTTACAAGAACAGCCAGCTTCAGGCTGAAATTTTACTGCTGAGTGCTAAATATTTAGTATCCTTTTGTGGTATACAGATTGAACATAATTCATTATTTGTGTTGTTGCTACGACAACTGATGGTGGAACCAGGATTTTTCTTTGGAGAGAGTGCACCACTAAGGAATGGCATAACTGACTGGTGAGGTAAACAAATTTTTTCAAAAGCGAATACGAAGAAGAAGGCTTCATCTCAGGGGGTTGGGGGGAGAGTGTGTACACAGCCTGCACCCTCCTGCTAGATCCACCCCTGATGGTGTCCTAAGAACATTATTCACATGACAAAAGCACTTTGTCGGCATCAGCATACCAGCTGATCTACCTGGAGAAATTCCTAGTAAGTTTTACGAGTTCCTGTACTTATTGCCATCAACCAACATTTTAGATAATAGCTGGCATAGGTGGCGGAGAAGGGGGGCTCAGAACCCCATGCTTTGGTGCTGATAATATTGCTAACGCAGCATAAAATTGGTATTTGACATTACCTCTGGCAAACGCAACTTCCAAGCAGACATTGTAAACAATGCCAAGAAGTTTGTTTGTGCAAAGGAACAAAGCAATTTTAAAGGCATTTTGGAAAATACGAGACAGTAAAGGTATGCGCTTGGCTTAACTATGAGCCCCCCCACCTTGTTTCAAAC